ATACAATTCTCTATATCGGTGGAAATAGGTAAAAAATATACAAAAGTTATTTCAGATCACATTTATTGGCAAAAATAAAGACTAGGTATTTCTTCTTCTTTGGTTTAATTTTTTTTAAAAAGACATTTTCTTTTTCAAAATCATCACGCGACAAGAGACTTAAAACTTCTGACCAATTAAATCTAATAGTGATTCGTGAAAGGGTTTGAAACAATTTACGCACAACGCCACTTGACAAGCCGAACACTGAATTGCACTTCTTTTTTGTAAACCCTGTTTAGAGCATTGTTGGCATCTACGACGAGTGGTATTTTCTGGAAAATGTCCCCGACTTTTCTTTGCTGGAAAAATATTTTTTTAGTGCAGGTTATAAAAAATATCTTAAATTGATATGATTTTCCAAAGAAGACTTCTTTAGAGAAAAAGTCTATTTTTAGTTGCTTCCTCTAGTTTATTTCAAAATTTTACGTTTAAATAAATTAAACACTAATAAATCTAATTTAAAATTGTTTAAACCATTGAATATAGAATTAAAAACCCTTTCAAATGAGCTATAAGTCGACCAAGTTGTCATTTTTCATTTTAAAATGTTTAAGGGGATGAAACTATTGTTGAGACACTTTGAGAATTCAGTGTGGCCAAGCATAGGCAATGTACTGGCGATGAGGAGTGAACAGTATGTACTATGTCCCGGTGTGGGAGCTGTTGAGTAAAATTTAAATTAATAATAATAATAATAATAATTAATAATAATTACACATTTATTGTCCACATATAAAGTACATATAGTACAGTTTATACAATTAAAAATATATATATAAAAAAAAAGTCAGTAGACAATTGGCCCAAATTGGTTCAGGTGCGGATATTATCCACCCCTGGTCTTCCACCAATGCCAATATGATATAAAAAAATGCACTTTGAGATGGCTTTCTAAAATTATAAGAAACGTTTAATGCAAAGGGAAAGAAAGAGGAAAGGAAACAGAAAAGGATAAACAAAAGGAGAAAGAGAAATGAGAAAATAAAAAAGAGTAGAAATAAAAAGTAATTATTGTGTTTGCAGCAGTATATTTTTATAGCGGCATTTAAAGGTTTCTGCTTTTAAATGTAATAATGTTGGATCAATTTTTAACAGGTTATTGATATGAACTGTGACATTGTAGGTAAAAGAACTTTTAAAACTAGCTTTGAAAAATCTAGGCAATCTAAGTATGGATTTAAAACGAATATTTAGGTTATGAACATCAGTTCTAAATGTTAATTTTTCATGCAAGTATGGCGGTGTCCTCATATTAAATAATTTTTGACTGAGACAAGCAAAATGTAAATTTCTTCTATTAACCATATTTAACCATTTAGTTTCTTTAAATTTAGTAGAAATGTGATCATATTTACGAATTCCAAATATTAACCGTACACAAGAATTCTGCAATTTTTGAATTCTTCCAGACTCGAAAATGTTTAAACAAGGACCATATACAATATCACAATGATTAAAATTTGATAAAACTAGTGAATCACATAACATTTTTTTTACATCTGGTGATAAAAAATATCGTTGCGCATATATTAGTTTCAAACTTGCATAAGACAATTTTAATTTTGATGTAATATGTTGTTCAAACTTCAATTTTGAATCTACAGTAAGTCCTAAGTTTTTACATTGCGTAACAATTGGGATAAACGCGTCATTAATTTTTAATAATGTCGCGGAGTTTACGGGATCCCTAATTGACTCATTACAAAAAATCATTGCTTTGGATTTTTTAGGATTAATTTTTAGTGAATGATTTTTAGATACATTAAAGATTTCATTTAAATCAGAATTAATATGCTGTATAGATTCATTTAAATTGGAGTACTTAAAAGAATAGTATAATTGGGTGTCATCAGCGTATAAATGATAATTACAGTATTTAAGTATACTTGGAAATTGTGAGGTATAGAGAGTAAATAATAAAGGGCCCAAAATACTACCTTGAGGTACACCAGATGTAATCTCCAACGGTGTGGAAGACATATTATCTATTTGAACAATTTGTTTTCGCTGGTAAAGATATGATTTTAATAGAGACACAGATGTATTATTAAATCTAAAAAACTTCAACATGGCAAGTAAAATTTTATGATTTATATTATCGAAAGCTTTCGAGAAATCTAATAGTATTAAGATAGAAATCTTGTCCTTATCCATGGCTCTAATCAAATCATCTATAATATCCGCTAGAGCTGTGGCACAGCTGTAGCCTGACCTAAAACCAGATTGTTTGCTAGGTAATATATTGTTGTTTTTCAAAAACCCTCTCATTTGAATTTCCATTACTCTCTCTAATATTTTGGAAAAAACTGGTAAAATACTAATTGATCTTAAATCACTGTATTCTTCAGGTAAAGTAACTTTTGGTAAGGGCAAAACTTTAGCGAATTTTCATGATTCAGGAAAATAACTATTTTTTAAGCATTCATTAATAATGTGTGTAATAATGGGTAATAGAAATGGACAACAGAAGTGTAAAATGATAATATTAATATCATCCATTCCGTAAGCTTTAGATTTGATATTGTAAATAATATTATTGACAACATCTTCGGAAACATCATTAAAATAAAAATCTTCAGTAATATTTTCTTTAAAATTGTTAAGGTAAAAATGTTGTAAATCTATTTGTATAGCAGAGTTATTAATGTTTGAAGTAAAAAATTTGTTAATGGCATTAACATCTTTTAGGTTTGGAGGTAGGTCAATTTTTTTTTGTCTCGATATATTAAGTTTTTTTAATTCCATTTTTCCTTAATATTACAAGATTGAAATTTAAAATTTAAGTAAGCCCTTTTTTCTGCTTTTATAGCTGTTGTTGTGTAGTTTCTTAATTGTTTATAGTAATCCCAATGCGTTGGATGTTGTGTTCTGCGAAATTTTTGCAAGGCTTTATCTCTAAGCCTTTGCATATAAATAATATTTTCAGTAATCCAAGGAGAATATTTAATTAGTTTTCTGGTTTTTGATTTTTTTGGAGCATGTATATCTAAAACTGTAATTATGTAGTTATTTAAAAACTCTACTTTTTTGTCAATGTTTTCAGTAAAATAAATATTGTACCAGGGCATAGATGCCAAATGATTTTGAAAATGTGCATGATTAATCTTTGTAAGTGACCTATATTCTACTTTAAAGTCGTTTTGAGGTACATTGTGAAAATTTTTAAATTTGCAGTTTATTGCTGAATGATCCGCAACTAGATTATGTTTCTTATTAATGAGTTTTTCGTTTTTTGCTATTATGTAGCCTGTCAAATTTAAAATAATGCTTCTTATTGATGAGTTTTCCGTTTTTTGCTGGCAATGAAAGAATTTGCATCTAGACGTCTAAAACAAAATAAAAATTTCGTTTGCAAGCATTTTTTGTCAATAGGTTTTGCTACTTTCGGTATAAATATAGAGATTTTTGAATTTGACAGATAACACGACAGCTCTCATCACCGGGACATAGTACATGTTGTTCATCCCCCTCCTCTATACCCAAATACAAGAAGCAAGCAAAAACCACAACATGCCACTTTTTGGCTATAATGGGAGACAGATACTCTGAGTTGCCGTCTCTTGGATGTGATAGGGACGGCTCAGTCCAACAAAAATATTTGCATGTTAAGCAGATATTACAATTTTAAGTGTATATTGTCATGCGAGACCGGTCCTGCTCTATAGCGCGACACCCAGTCTACATCGATACATCCGAGAGAATTCCATGAAGCTCGAAAGCACGAAAGCCTGGAGTTGTTTGGAACATAACATTTCTAATATAAATAGACTCTTTGTAGATAGTTAACCTTAAAACTTTACACTGCATTCTAAGTGTGTCTGTATAGTATATTATTTTAGAAATTACAGAAATTAGTAGGGGGAGGGGGGAAGGGGGGGGGGGGCAGATTAACACACTTAACTTTCTCACATTTTTAAGTTCTGCCGAAAAAGGTTTGCTCAGATTTTGTAGCCTGTAAATACTACAAAAATTAAACAATGTAACAACGTAATAACCTTAAAATAAATTGTAAAAAAATGATTTTATAATGTTTTAAAAGTATTGTTTTCTTTAAGGTTCTAGAGTTTAAAAACAGTTACCATGAAAATAGAACTATTTATAATTAGAAAGGCCAATGCCTTTTTCGAAAACTTAGCCTCCCTTGGTGTAGGGAGCTATAACTAACAGCTAATTTTCGTTTTGCAAAAAAATACATTTGTTGTAAAGACATTTTATTATAATTATTAGTGAAGTGGACAAAAGAAAATATCAAGTGGAAATAAAAACTAACTCAAAATAAAGTCTTAACCACAAAAATATTTATTGAACAAAGGGCGAAGCGTGACTAGATTCGGTAGGTGTTTAAATTAGTAACTAAATTGGTGGGAAGCAACAAAGAAGCATTAGTTTAAAGTGAGTAGATGTTCGAGTAACCATAGCACAAGATAGATATAACAATGCGAGTAACCACATCTGATCTAGTTTGAGGTGTCGATCGATCAGACCGACAGTGTGGTCCAGGAGGAGTTAATATTGCTTCGGTGTCAAATTTGAAGACTGTAAGATAATGTATGATCCAAAATGTAGCAAATATAATAGTCAAACTCCTCAGTGTCCTCAGAAGTCACAGAACCAGAATAATGCCGGTAACCAATAGAGTCGCCTACTAGTCAAATGATATTAAACTAACGTATACAGAACGATCCTAAAACAATCCATGTATTAGTAGTGCACATGAAAAAGTTGGAAAGTAGTAGAATAACTCACAGGATTTAACGACGCACGAGCCCCCGTGAAACTTACACAATGATAATTGTTAATGCCTGATGATGGCCATTGACTAAAACCAGTCGCGGTTTACCCCTTGTTTAATAAATATTTTCGTGGTCAAGACTTTCCTTTACAGATTTATCACATTTGACATTTGAGTTATGGATAACATTATTACTCTGAAAATAAAGACTTAATTGAATTAGAACATGACTCGCTAGGCGGTATCCACAAACTGGCATCACTGATATACTGGATATTCCCCGATTGAGGTAATTTTAATTTATTTTCTGCTGGTACAATATAAGCCACATAAATCTCCCATGAATCCTTGATTTGATGCATAGTTTGGAGATGTCTCTTCATGCTATTTCGCCTCATGATTTCCTTACCACAACCGACCACCATACACGTCATGGGGAGTTTGTTGCATTCGTAGTGCAGATGGTCGTATAGATGCCGCTTGTTTTTGTACTGCTTTTTCGGGCAGTGCTTACATACATATTTGTGGATTTTTGGATCATAAATCATGTCTTTTGCAACGTAATCTAAAAATAAAGTCATTAGTTTAAAGGTTGTGCTGATGATCAGTGGTTCTAAATGTTCTAAGAAGATAGAGAAGATGTTGCTTCCACAAATTGATATTGTAGACAGATTGGTTAAGCATTTCATAAGAGGCAGTAATGGAATGTGTGCTTTTATTTATTATTGAGTCAACAATTATGCATTTTAAATATTTGATTTGCATAGTTGGTATTATTCTTTTAAAGATATTGGATATGCCAACTATGTCAACATTCTTCACACATTGCTGACATTCTGTTCCTGCAATTATTTCTGAATTTAACTGTTAGAGATTTTACGTATCCAAAACTAAAATATAAAAGTTTTAAGCCGAATTCCAAAAATTATATTAAATAAACAGCAGATTTGATGAAAATTCAAATTATAAATAAAATAACAAATTCACAAATTTCTCAAAGCTTGTAACCATCTAGGACATTAAAAATAATAATTTCTATTTCATATTTCTACATATATTTACTTTTATTATTTATATTTTCCTTAGAAAAATTTTCGGGTTCGCATAGACAATCACTATTCTTTTTCTGATGTCAGATGAAACAACTCGTGTATAATGAGCAGATACACAAAATTGAACATATAATTTAACAGGCCTGAAATAAAGGTAGGAAAAAGGGTAAATTGAGAAGGGTAAGTTGAGGTTATGCAAGGTTTTATCGAAATAAGTTCAATATTTTATCTCACGCTAGATTGTCAATTTAAAATAAATTGACAAAAAAGTTATAATAAACAATACAATTTGGGCTCTCTATTTAATTTGAAACACGTCATCATCAGGAGGACAATACATTGATGGATGTGTTATGAATTGAATTGAACTACCAAGGTGCGGTACAGTCACATTAGGTAAGTCCTTTACAATATACGTCACGTATTTCTCCCAATCATTGGAGATTCTTTGATGTTTAAGCGCAAGATGTCGCTTCATGTTGCTTCTTCTTAAGATCTCCATGCCGCAACGGTCGACCATACAAGTCATTGGCAATTTATTGCATTCGTATTTAAGATGTTTGTTCAAATGCGATTTGTTTTTGTACATTTTAGTTGGACATTGCTTACAAAAGTACTTTTTGGTGACGGGGTTAAAGCATTCATCTACAATAGAAACTAAAGGTTAGAAAAAGTTTATGAAACTAAGTCATGCGGGTTATACTATTCTTCTTTCTTCTGTAGATATATGGTCACATCGAAATTAAGATATATCTACATGTCAGTCCTGTGATGAGTTAATATATTCAAAAATACAATTTCCTAACAATCCTAATAAAAATTCCGGATATTTCTTTAAAAATCCGAACAAAATAAAACTTCAACTTATAACGATTACTAAACGTTTTATTAAAAAAAAGTAGCTACCGTAACAAACTAAAACCAAAAACAATTCCTTAATTAAAAATTCGTGAAATTAAACATAAAATTACACATTTACGTAAAAAAAAATTGTGCAAAATTAAAAGAAAAGTTAATTTCAACGGTTAAAAGAACTATTTGTATGGGATTTTAAGTTATAATACTTGTGAAGATTTTTCTGAAAATTCCGGACAATTTATAATTCGCGGCGCTTTCCGGACAAATCGCCAAAATTCCGGACATGATCAGACTTTTCCTGACGTCTGGTAACCTTAGTTCTGAGCAGAGTTGCCGTATGGGGAAACTTTTGCACAAATATGGGGGACTTTCCCCCAAATGGGGGGAATTTAATCAGTTCGGGGTAAATTTTAGGAGGAACTTTTTTCGGGGGTTTCTGTAATGTGTGGAGGGTGGGTTACCCCACGGCACTTAGGCCTCATTAGGCCCATTGTGCTTCCTCCTGCGAAGATAGACACCTCCTAGCTCATGAGCCATCCTACAGATTTAATGTAGTTGACAACGTCGCCAAGTGGTGCTTTTCGGGGGGTATTTAATTTGGCACATTAAGATTTATGATTTATTTACTTATTTATTTTTATTATTAAGAAACCAAATTTTTGTTGTTTTTTATTGTAATTATAAATATTTTTGTTTATTTAAGTTTTTTTGTATTTTTTTTTATTAAATTATTAATATTTTGGGGGTTTTTAAAAATTTCGTCACAACTCCCAGCCATTTTTTACAAACTTTTGGTTTAACTAAATATTGTACTTTAAATTTTTTGGGGGATTTTTTATTATATATAAGGTTGCGGTTTTGGAGGATTTTTAATATCAATTTGAGGGAAATTGACACGACCGGTCTAGCAACCTGGTTCTGAGCACAGAATGTGAGTAGTTCTAATTTAGACTTTTGTAGATTTGGGATTGCGTCGCGTTTAGTTATTTGCCATGTTGACAAATTGGCGTTTATTTTAGTTTATGATCATAACTTTGGTGAGAGTTGTTTTTTGTATATCGTTTCGTAAATATTTTTTTCAACCACGAACAACTACTAGACTAATTTTGTTTACAAAAATTCTTGGTTTTATCAACGTACTTAGTTGTCAAATTATTATGGGATAGTATGGGATAGTATGGGATAGTATGGGATAGTATGGGATAGTATGGGATAGTATGGGATAGTATGGGATAGTATGGGATAGTATGGGATAGTATGGGATAGTATGGGATAGTATGGGATAGTATGGGATAGTATGGGATAGTATGGGATAGTATGGGATAGTATGGGATAGTATGGGATAGTATGGGATAGTATGGGATAGTGTGGGATAGTATGGGATAGTATGGGAAAGTATGGGATAGTTTGGGAAAATATGGGAGAGTATGAAAGGATTGACAGCAATGTAAAGCAAGCCTCATAGATAAGTACCAATTCATTCATAAAACGCCTTCTTGCTCCTTAGATAAACTTAGATAAACAAAACTGCACAAACAATCCCCACTCAAATTAGCAGCCGTCTCATTTTTTTTTCGCGACAACCTATGTGGCAGCTTTTTCTGCGAAATATAAAACACATTCTGATTGCAATAAATAAGGGCTTGAATATGAATGAATGGATTAGAATTAGATTAGTCGTTAATTTTTTTTAGAATGTCGTTTACTAACATTAAACTGACAGATGGAAAAAAAGCCCGTCAAGAACAAATTCTTTATAGCAAACGATTTTCAAATCGAAAGTTTCCAGATATGATAAGGAAAATGCACGAATTTTTATTATATGGATGTTTTGAATTTTTTATTTTTTTTTATTTTTTTTGCAAGAAAAAATGTATTTTCGCCTGCAATTCGTTTTTGTTTAAGTTTTAATGTAATGTTTCTTTATTTTTTTTGAAATTTTTTGCAATTTATTTTTGATTTTTGTAAAAATGTTTTATTGCCGCACGAAACTCATTTTATCTTGATTAAAAAAATGTACGAATTGTTTACTTAGATTGATAGTAACGGCATATGTATAGGTATAATATATTTAAAATTTTTACAGCAATTGTATAAAAATAGCGCCTTTAAAAAACTTGAAAAATATATTGGAAATTTTTTGATTTTTAGATTTTTAATTTTTTTATTTATGTTTAATTTTTCTTTTAATTTTTTTCAAATTTGACAGCAGTTAAACGAACAATGGCGCCTTTACAAAAAAAATTAAAAATATATTTGAAATTTTTATTTTTATGAATTTGTTTGATTTTTTAAATTTTTTGAATTTTTTTTAATATTTTGGAATTTGTTTGAATTTTTTTAAATTTTGTTGATTTTTGAGTTTTTTTATTTTTTTGATATTTTCTGAATTTTTTTTTTAATTTTTTAGAATTTTTTTGATTTTTTTTTTAATTTTTTGAATTTTTTTGAATTTTTTTGAATTTTTTTAAATTTTTTTGAATTTTTTTGAATTTTTTTGAATTTTTTTGAATTTTTTTGAATTTTTTTGAATTTTTTTGAATTTTTTTGAATTTTTTTGAATTTTTTTGAATTTTTTTGAATTTTTTTTGAATTTTTTTGAATTTTTTTGAATTTTTTTGAATTTTTTTGAATTTTTTGATTTTTTTTTTGATTTTTTTGAATTTTTTTGAATTTTTTTTTTAATTTTTTTTATTTTATTTATTTATTTATTTATTTATTTTGAATTTTTTGAATTTTTTGAATTTTATTGAGTTTTTGTGATTTTTTTGAATTTTTTTAAATTGCGGTTTATTGCGGCTTATTGTACCAACATTTGAAGGTCCTACTACTTTCCCATTCACCAACTCACTTCCTCATTTATCATCTTTCATTCCACGTCGTCTATGGTTGAACGCTAGACAGCTAAATCTCATGTTAACATGGCCCATAGTGGAACTTCCAGCGGTCACTCATCCATGACGTGACCGGAGAATTTACTACTTAACTATTTGTGAATGAACACTTCTCGCGGCTAGCTTTTCCGCCTAGGTCGATAGTAACGTTTATGCATAATCTGCTTGAAAATGTGACAGCAGTTTTACGGACAATGGCACCTTTAAAAAATTTAAACAATTTTTTTTTAATAAATGTTTTTTTGACTACGGAACTTGTTTTTATTCATGACTAAGAAATTGTTTTGGATTATTTTTAATTTTTTTTGCAAGATGAATTTTATCGCCACATTAAAACTCGTTTTTAAGTTTTTTTTAACTTTTCTTCTAATTTTTGTTTTAAAGAAATTTTTTATCGCCACACTGTTCAACATTTAAGAGGAAGAGGAAGAAACCAACGAACACTGGAAGCTGAAAAACAAGTACTACTGGCTGTTGAAAATGGGTCTAAAATAAAGACTTGCCAATGAAGTTGCATTATCTCATTTTGTTACCTGGTGTACACTTAAAGAACGATGTCCACATTCTTACCATATACAAAAAGTTCAAACGTGATATCTGTGATACGAAGAAAAGAGAATCGACTTTTTCCAGTGGTTAATTCAAATATGTCCCGATATTCCTGATTTGTTGAGAACTTACACGCGGATGAAATGTTTGAAATTCACAATTCCCACAATTGGAATTATGAAAATCTTTATGCAGTTCATGAACATGGATATCAACGAAGATTTTGTTTTAATGTTTGGAATAGAAGAGAGAATAATTACGTAAATGGACCTTATTTTCTTCCAAACCGTTTAAATGGTTAATAGATCTGTTTTTTTGCTGATGTGGATAGTAAAAAAAACGGTGATTTATTAATTATAGATAACTGTTTATTATTATTCAAACTTTTAAATGGTAGTGCAAACTAAAAGGGTTGATAAAAAAAAATAATAACTGTTCCGAAAAACATCACAAATAAATATAGGACTTTTTTAAGTGGTATTTTAGAACCATCTAAAAATCCACCGATGTGTTGGGATCTCTATTTAATTCAAAACACGTCATCAGGAGGACAATACATTGATGGATCTGTTATGAATTGAATTGAACTACCAACTTGCGGTACTGTCACATTAGATAAGTCCTTTACCATATACGTCACGTATTTCTCCCAATCCTCGCAGAATATTTGATGTCTCACCGAAAGATGTCGCTTCATGTTGCTTCTTCTTACGATCTCTATGCCGCAATGGCCGACCATACAAGTCATGGGCAGTTTATTGCATTCGTATTGGACATGTTTGTACAAATGCGATTTGTTTTTGTACTTTTTTGTTGGACAACGCTTGCAGATGTACTTTTTGGTATCGGGGTCGAAGCATTCATCTAAGTTTTCTACAAAAAAACTAAGTTTAGAAAAAAAATTGGTTGAAAATGAGTCATGCGAATTTCATTCTTTCTTTGTCGGTCATTGGTTTAGAAACATTTTTTGTATATCATTCGTTAGGTTAACAGTAACATTAGCTATTAGTTAAATGTCCAAATATAATAATAGTACCAATTTTTGGCTTGAATGTCTATTTATAGTAATTTTGAAATAAATGAATAAAACTAATTAAACTTTTGTGAATTGTTTATTGTGCTATTCCAGAAACGTTAAAAAATTAATCTACAATAGAGTAAGTACATTTTATAATAACAGAAAACTGAGTAAAATTTTCTCTTCGGGAAATATTTTTCAAAGGCTTCTTAAGTGAGACAACTTGAAGGAATTATAAAAAAACAAACAATGACAGAAGTAGAATATATTTTACTCATTTTTGACTGATTTAAAGTCAACAATTATTAATTTTTGTCATTTGTAGATGGATCTTAAAATTTATATGTAACATATTTAAATACTTTGTGCATTTATTGCCCAGCTAGCACATAACGTTGCCAAGCCTTTCTGTGATGTTGTTTTAAGGGAACGGAATAACATTACTATACAACGTTCATGAGAGGTTGTTGAGAGAAATCAAAACCTCGCAAAACTTCTATTTGTTACTAGAGCTCGTTTTTTTTTGTGAAAAGCACACTTCGTCATAATGTGCAGAAACCAATTTGAATTTATTTGTAGGCGAAGTCAAACAGATTTAAACGTGATCGATGCCGCCTGCCGCTCATCACCGCTCATACAAGTTGAATTCAGTAGCGTAGTGTTACTTATTTGTACTTGTTGCATTTATTTAGCTATTTTGAGTTTCATGAGTTTTGTGCTTCGATTTTTGAGTTTCCTGAGTTTTTGTGCTTCGATTTGTGTGTATATAAACTTTATTTTGATATATTTTTTGAATTCCTAATTAATTTTGTGTATATTTTGGTAAGTACATTTAGGGTCAGTCTTTTCATCTTCAGATAAAGTTCCAGTTAACTAACCAAAAGATATTTTATCCAAGAGTTACTATCTGATAGATCATTAAGTTTCCGTCTTTTCAAGAGAAATAATCTGTAGGGTAGTTATCTGGTACATTTTAACGTTCTGTGGTCATGTAACTACCTTTATATCAATCTATTTATGCGTGCGATATGTCACTCTCACTGTCACACTCGTTATTTCATTATTTCGCTCTGGCACTTATTTGAAAGAAGTTTTTGTATTTTTCTGAAAATATTTGTTATTTTAAACTCCATAAATCAAGTGACAAAAAAGAAAAGATCGACCAACTTTCAATAAGCAAGAGGATGCCTAAAACATATAGTGCTACTACAAAATAAAAAACTGATTCTGGGGTATGTTGTATTGTAATTAACATAGATTAGTAATTTGATTGAATTAAATTTTTCAAAGGAGTATTATTGGTGCCATAATATTTACTATTTTATATATGTAAAGGCTGTTTTTTTTATTATACCGCTTATTTTTCCCGAATTTTTTCGAGAATAAATATATATTTATACAAATTACACAACTAAACCACTATTTACAAAAACACATCTTTAACAACGTCCATAGACTCGTATCACATATTATTTATGTCATATACCTACTTATCCATCAGTTAACTACTTTATCAGGAAGTTCAGAGGTTAGTTTTATCCAAAAGTTAAAAGATGACTTTTTAAGTTATCTGGGAGATAACAATTACCTGACACTTTATCTGAATGTGAAAAGACCGACCCTTACAAAACTATAAATATTAATCTCAGAAGAAACCGAACATCCTGAAATATTTTAAATGCCTTTTAAAACCAGATTTTTTGTAAACTATATTTTTCTTATCTTAAGAGTATTGTTGCGGTAATTATTGTGATGAGACCTATTTACATAGTAGTCATACACATTCGAAAGGATGGACCGATGGCAAAGGCAAATTCAAAACTCCAATGAGCAAGGGGAAAAGGCTCATAATGTTGCATGCAGGAAGTAAGGATGGTTTTGTAGAAAATGGACTGTTGATATTTACTTCAGGTAATAATCTATTTTTTATAAAAAATTATTTATTATTTGCGTCTTTACCTACTTCATAAAAATCCATGATGCTTAACAATCGAAAGTTATGATCAGCTTAAATTTAATTTAAACTGTTAAAGTATCTAATTACCAAGGTATTTAAGTACTTAATGTAGTGGTTTATTTTATTATCTTCAGTTTAGTTAAAAGATCTTTACCTGTACTTAATCCTTTATTGTTATACAAGGGAAAGTTTTTAGTAATAACTTTTTCTTAGGAATATTATAATATTATAATCTTATCATCTTGAAGAAATATTTCTTCTAAAAACAAATTATTTTTTAAGTGATTTAAAATTCCTAATAATTTTTGTAAGTTTAAATATCATACAAAAATAATTATGAAAAATATACTTGCATTATAGATAATAAATTCTTTTTTACTTTTTTTTTTTTCAGGAAAAAAGACATGAGATTATCATGATGAAATGAACTGGAATAATTTTTCCCAATATGTTAGAAGGCAGTTACTACCAAATCTTCCTCCAAGGTCTGTACTTGTAATCGATAATGCAAGTTATCATAATATAAAATCTGAAAAACCGATTACAACGCAGACCAAAAAAGCAGATTTAATTAACTGGCTCGTTAAAAACAATATACCACATGATGCTAAAATGACCAAACCAGAACTGTACACATTAATAAAAGTTCACAGACCTCCACCGAAATTTCTTTTAGAACATCTTCTCGAAGAACATGGACACAAAGTTCTACGATTACCTTCATATCATCCCGAATTAAATCCCATAGAAAAAATATGGGCCACAGTAAAAAATTGGGTGGGTCAACATAACACAACATTCATGTTGGATAATTTTAAAAAGTTGGCAAGAGAAAAATTCCGAAGCATAACGCGGAAGGAATGGGCAAACGTGGTGGACCATTCCGCGAAATATGAGGATGCATATATTCAAAGAAAACACCTTATAGATGAATTTACAGATTCCCTCATATTTAGTGTAAACACGGGATCATCCGATGAGTGGAAATCCCATAATTCCGACTTGGAAGATGATGAAGATGATGAAAATGTTTAAAATTATACAAATTAAATTAATATATAAAACTTTTAGTTGTTTTATTAATTTGAAGTTCATCAGCAATTTAACTAACGAATAGTTGAAATTTAATATTAACTTAATATGTTCGATTTAAAATATTTTATTAATGTACACATGCCACTGCTAAGATATCAGATACCTTTACCGCAGCAGATTTCAGCCCAGCGCCATCAACTAAAGCTCCACAAACTTATGACGTACTGCGCGAACTGTGGCATAGCTATGGCGAAATGTGCTCTTCACAAAAAAATCGAGCTCTAGTTGGGTGTCCAAAATATGAACTCTGATTGGTTGATTATATTTTTTGCAGTGTTCTTACTACCTAGAATGGATATGAAATATATTCGTTCAGTTGAACGCAATAGCATACTTTTTTGTTTTGTAGTCCGTGCGTAGCATGAGCTAATATTTTAATTTCAACTATAATAAATAAAAAAGGATAAATTGTTGTAAACGATAAAATACATTTAAAAAAGACTCGGGAATTTTAGAAGCAAAAGTAAATACTACAGAATTGGTTAAAGAAGGAAATAATAGAACCTTAAATTAATTGTTGAATGTATCTGGAAATCCAACTAATTCAAACACAAACCAAGAGAAATTTTGGCAGAAACCACAGACGATGCTCTCGAGTACACAGCAGGATATCTTGCTAAAACGCATAAAAAAAACACCCGGAATGAAAAGACTTCACATATGAATATACTAGTGCCTACAGTTGCAATATTTCTTCTTGGGTACAACAATTAATTGTCTTATAGCAGACTCATTAAACACCGATAAGAATGGTTAAAAAATGTTAAAAATGGAATTATTATTTTGAAAAGTACACGAGTAATATAAAAAAGAAAAAAAAGAAGGCGAATTTTTTACGTTGCATGAAAAACTTATGGATGATATAACATAATTTTTTGTTTATTATAGAATAAAAATTGAAGAATTTTAAAATATATTTTTGACAATTAAAGATGAGCTTCAAAAAAATGATACCACACTTAGGGAATCGATTTCCCAGCTCAAAAGTTTCACCCGTTAATACTAATAAAAAGCTTTTTTTATTACTGACAAAACACAAATGCTTTTTTAAAAACAAATATTTTGGCTTGACGTATAGTGAGAATAAGATCTTAAGTTGTCAGCACATGGATAAATTTTACGAAAATAAGTTGTTAGTTATAAAAAAAAATAAAAGAAATACAGTAGCATTGGTTGTTTTATTTAAAACGAAGTCGAAATCACCTAAAAATAATTTGTAATCATTTAAACTTGAGCATATTTTTAATTTATATAAACATTTTAATTAATATTTTGCTTCAGCATAAATAATTATTTTTATTTTGCTTGTATACTAAGAAATACTTTTACAAATTTTAAACTTAATTATTGATACAGAACTATTTATCAAAAACTTTTTTTCTAAAAACTAATAATACATTTTTCTATATTCTGACAGCTTAAGAACCTAGACTTACACACAAATTGTTTCACCTGGCAAAAAGATATTGGGATAAGTATTACGTGTGCGTAGTTTTAGCAATTTAGCGCGTTTTTTTTAGTGTCTAGCACTGATTTTGTCACATACTTTGATTACTATACGGTGCAAGAGAGAGGTCCGACACGCCCAACATAGGGCGCGACCATTTTGATTCCTATGCCACAGTTTATAGCTAAAGAATCAGATCGCTCACTCTGCGTCGGCACTTTTGATCTCAACCGCCTATAATAAAACAGCAGTCTTCCAGATATCCTGAATTTGTATCCTTGGAGTGGATGTTATTTTGGAACTTTCAACTGGTCCGAGTGAGCTAACTGATTCTTTAGCAATAAACTGTGACTCCAAAAATATTATTCACTGACACTGACAGCAGCAAGCAAAATATCAGGTGCGTTTTAATCATCCGCTCAGAAGCAGACTTCCGGAATTTTCGGTTTAGTCGTTTTAACCTGTCAGATTAAAACAAGAAAACCGACAATTCCGAAGCAGAAGCGGATGATTAAAACGCACCTATTAAAATATTGCGCCAAGATGTAGGCAACACGTAATAAGGGATCAAAATGGCGTTTTCTATCTCCTTTTAAAAGGCACTCAGAAAGATGCACAGTGCGACCATTCTCCGTATAGTAAAAGAAAATTAAAGTATGTGGATTTTGTCAATATTGACAAGAGTAAAGTACCCCTTGGAGGACATCGGGGAAAAATGGATTTATCTGGCAAAAAGGTATTGACAAGTATTACGTTGGCAAAGTTTTAGCATTCTAGCGCGTTTTTTCTAGTACCTGACACTGACTTTGTAAAATTGACAAGAGAAAAGTACCCCTTGAAGAAAATCGGAGGAAAAATGGATTTATCTGGCAAAAAGGTATAAACAAATATTACGTGTGTAAAGTTTTAGCATTCTAGCGCGTTTTTCCTAGTACCTGACACTGATTTTGTCAAAATTGACAAGATAAAAGTACCGCTTGGAAGCGTTGGAGAGAAAATGGTTTTACCTGGCAAAAAGTTAGTAAAAGAAGTATTATGTGTGCGAAGTTTAGGCAATCTAGCACGTTTTTTTTTTTAGTGCCTGGCACTGATTTTGTCAAAATTGACAGGATCAAAGTACCCCTCGGATGCGATAAGAGGAAAATGGTTTTACCTGGCAAAAAGATAATGAAACGCGTATTACGGGTACAAAGTCTGAGCAATTTACCGCGTTTTTTCTAGTACCTGGCATTGATTTTGTCAAAATTGACAAGAGTAAAGTACCCCTTGGAGGAAATCGGGGAAAAATGGATTTACTTGGCAAAAAGTTATTGAGATAAGTATTATTTAGGGATATTTTTACAAAATCATAAATGAGACGAAATTAATGTCTGTATCGTTCAAATTGTACTTGGAATGTATGCATTAATTCAATTAATCACGATAAATATATCTGTTGATTGAAAAAAGTGTAAAAAAAGGTAACAAAAAGTTGAAAAACACGAGAGATGAAAAAGTTGAAATCTTAGACTCCAATAAATGTTTTAGTTGTTTCGAATTTAGTTATTCCATAAAGGTCTTGTTTAGCAGGTGTATTTAAAATATTGTGTTTTACCATGGAACGGCATTTATCTTTAGACGAAATGAATCGAGCAGTAGGCCTTATTGAAGCTGGCATGCGGCAAACTGAGTTAGCTGAACGGATGAGTGTTTCCCAAAGTGTCATAAGTCGATTATGGAGCTGATTTAGGGAAACTGGTAGTCCTGCCGAGCAACATCCAGGACGTGGACACTCCTGCAATTCAAGATAGATTTTTATGTTTAACTGCTACAAGGAAACCTACAATTATAGCACCTGAATTGGATACGGCTTTACAAAAGGCGGATAACATAATTATTGGCCGAGATACTTTGAGAAATCGTCTTCATAAGGCCAATCTCTTTAGTCGACGACCACTCAAGTGTCCACTTCTTTTAAAAGGCAATCGCGCTACAAAACTGGCTGGTGTCAAGAATATCAAAATTGAACTGTACATGATTGGGCTTTAGTTTTATTGACAGACGAATCCAGGTTTGGATTTCATCCAGATTCTCGTCAAACAAGAGTGTGGAGACGATCTGGAAATGTGGAACGTTTAAGACATGTTTAGGAAGTGTACAGATATAGAAGTGGTACAATAATGGTATGGGGAGGAATTATTAGAGGTGCAGAACCGAGCTGGTTTTTCGAAATAATTTCATAACAGCTCAGCTATATCTGCAGGCGCTGTTGGTCAAAACTTTAACTTAATGCATAATACTGCTCGTAAATATACCGCACGCTTTGTAACAAATTGGTTAAATAACGAGGAAATGGAAGAAATTTTACCATAGCCAGCACAATCTCCGGACCTAAATCCGATTGAGCATGTGTGGGATATGCTTTAACGTAGAATTATCCCTCATATGGAGAACAATTACAACACGTTTCAATCCCGGAAACTTCTGAGAGCAGAGTGGTTGCGTTTACCTCAAGGAGACATTGACAATCTTATTTTGTAAACCAACGTGGAGGTCATACTTTATATTAAACAGTTTTTTTCACATGCGCGGGAGAGTTTGCAAAACTCTATAAATAGTACGTTACATAATCTATTTTTTTTATATACGAGGCCTGTCTAAAAAGTATCCGACCTTTGGCCAGAAAAAATATTTCGAATACCTGACGGAGTTGGGACCCTAATCCCCTTCAAAGTAGGCCCCTTGTGCTTGCACACACTTAGCCCACCGATCCTTTCACTGCTGGAAACACCTCTAGAAGTCTTCTTTTGGAATGGTGTTCAGCTCCGTCGTCGCATTCCGCATTATATCTTCTCTACTCTTAAAACGGGATCCTTTCAGTGGCGTCTTCTATTTTGGAAACAACCAGAAGTCGCAAGGAGCCAGGTCTGGAGAGTAGGGAGGTTGGCGAACAGTTGTAATTCCATGTTTGGCTAAGCAAATGTTGATCAATTGAAATGAATGTGCAGGGGCGTTGTCATGATGCAAGTGCCAGTTGTTCGCCGTTCACATGTCTGGTCTTTTGCGCCGAACTGCGTCACGGAGTCGCCGGAGAACATCTTGATTGTACTCCTTTGTCACTGTTTGTCCTTCCGGTGCGTATTCGTGATGCACAATTCCACGGACATCGATTTTGCTTCGCACCTGACGCGCTTTCTTCTGCCTTGGAGAATCGGGATGCTTCCATTGCGATGACTGTCTTTTTGTTTCTGGGTCGTACCCGTACACCCATGACTCATCTCCAATTATCGCGGTATTCAGAAACCCAGGATCAGTGTTGGCGGTGTCAAAACGAAGATCTTTTTGTTCCGGCGACAACAACTTGGGTACGAATTTCCCGTTCACCCGGTACATGTTCAAATCTTCACGCAAAATTGCATGTGTAGAATCTTTACTCACTCCAACCTCTTCTGTAATCTCCTGCACTGTCAAACGACGATCTGCCATTATCAAATTTCGCACTCTCTCAACATTAGCTGCACTCCTAGCAGTTTGGGGCCTGCCACAACACTGCTCACTCTCCGCTGATGTGCGGCCATCTTTGAATCGGTTGAACCACTCCTAAATTTGTATTACACCCATCGCATCTTCTCCAAACACCTGCTGAATCTTATGAATTGTTTGGCTTTGAGTATCACCAAGCTTTTGACAGAATTTGGTGCAGAACACTAAGAACAGCACTTTAATTGGCGACCATCATCCAGCGACTTGCACAAGCGAATGAGGTAAAAAAAATTCAAGAATGCGCATTAGGGTTCCTCCTTCCACCGTGCACAGTGGCACCGCCATAGAATCACTATGCGCGGAAAAAATTAAGGTCGGATACTTTTTAGACAGGCCTCGTAAATCTGCTGGGTTTTTTATACAAAACATTTAATTTGATGTACTATTAAACACTTTATTATTTTTCTAAATCGAGTCAAGAAAAAAGAAATTGATTTTGTAACAATATCCCTAGACTTTTCCGATGTGTGTTATTTTAAAGTATCAATATTTTTTTTTAATTTAAGTATATTTTAAAAACGTTAAAAAACAAATTTTAAAGAGTTGTAACTAACTATAGTGTTTAAAAATGATCTTATATTATTGATATATTTATCTTACAATACCTCTACTTTTGAGATATTAGTAATTGATTTCAGCAGCATTTTTGATTTCTGTTTCCTTAAGGTTTTACTATAACCTCAATTTCAAATACCTAATCAACCTCTCAATATTACGTTACATAAACAACTACATCATACTGTATGAACAACTTTCGAGAAACTCTAGTGTGATGTTTTCTGAACATCCCTTCGTAACCTCTATGAGAGGTGCTACAAAACTCCTGCAGTTACGGAGTTTAAAGATCCTGAAATTACAGTTTATTAACGTAGATAGGATGTTTATGTGCTAGCTGGGTGAAAGGTTTTACTCAAATATAATATAACGTTTTTAAAGTCAAATTCAAAAGAAGTTACCTTTGATAGAGATATTATACTTTTATTCCACATATAAAAAATAAATAAATAAATAAATAAATAAATAAATAAATAAATAAATAAATAAATAAATAAATAAATAAATAAATAAATAAATAAATAAATAAATAAATAAATAAATAAATAAATAAATAAATAAATAAATAAATAAATAAATAAATAAATAAATAAATAAATAAATAAATAAATAAATAAATAAATAAATAAATAAATAAATAAATAAATAAATAAATAAATAAATAAATAAATAAATAAATAAATAAATAAATAAATAAATAAATAAATAAATAAATAAATAAATAAATAAATAAATAAATAAATAAATAAATAAATAAATAAATAAATAAATAAATAAATAAATAAATAAATAAATAAATAAATAAATAAATAAATAAATAAATAAATAAATAAATAAATAAATAAATAAATAAATAAATAAATAAATAAATAAATAAATAAATAAAAATAAATAAATAAATAAATGAATAAAATGACCGTTCATAATGTATACTCTATTTGAAAAAATGTCTGTCTTAAAATCTTCTGGTAACTGTATCAATGTCCTCTCGAGCAAAATCTTTGTGAATACTCCTTGCTTGCTTAATGCTGGATGATTTAACATCTTGCCGTCTGCTCAACTTTAGGCGGAGTTAAAGAGGTGGTGAGACAATAAAGTGTAAAAAGTGTTTAATAGTTATTATAGTACGTATTTTTGGGAGACTATACTGGTCAGACAGTAATGACAAGAAATTTTCAAAAGTATCATACTCAACAATTCCAATCCCATTGACTTTTATCGTTTATAATCTTAATATTCCCCACAAGAGGTACTGTAATATCACTAGTGTAAGGTATTACGTAAGCCACATATTTCTCCCAGTCTCCGAAGATGTTGTGCTTCACCGTCAGATGTCTCTTCATGCTGCTCCGTCTAAGAATTTCTTTACCACAATACTGGATCATGCAAGTTATGGGAAATTTGTTGCATTCATATTTGAGGTGTTTGTGTAGGTGTTGCTTATTTTTGTACCTTTTGGTCGGACATCTTTTACATACGTATTTTTCACTTTCAGGATCGTAAGATTCTTCTAATTCTACATCTACAAGACAACTAATTTAAAAAAATATTCGTTTATAGTTATGTAAAGTTTGTGAATGTCACTACAGCTAAAAGTGTATACATAAATTGTGAATAAGTGCTATGGTAATACTTAAATTCATTTTAGAATAGTCTGTAGTCAATTACCATTAATTTTGCAATAGCAGTTCCTAAATATGATAGCCATTGATTTGGAATTTGTTGACCTGAAAAATTGAATAAAGAAAGCATAACATGAATGTTAGTGCCATTAGATAGAACCTATGGTTTATCTCCAAGAATCGTCATAATTAGACCTATGCTGCAAAACAGAGTAATTGGTAACCAAGAGGTGTTTAGGTAATATGTAACCATTCAACCATGGAAAGCATACCAAGTAAAGCAATGAAAATGTTATTTAGTAATATTCTCTTGCTAATATTTATGACACGACCTTAGACGTTGCTGTGGCATGAAACTCTAAACTAGCACTGTGTTTTTAAACAAACTTTATAGGATTGTTACGAAATACATTAAAGAACCTTTAGTGGCCAATACCCCATACATGTACATAGATGGGTCTAAGACCAAAGCAGACACAGGGTGTGTACTTATTCCAGATCTCTGGATCTAAAATAAAAAATGGGACAATGATAAAAATGTAAGCATAACCAGTTAAAATATAATTGGTATAAATATGAATAATAACAACATAACCAAAAGTAGATACAGAGGAGCATTACGTCAGGTTCAATACTAGAATGCCACGTCCAAATGATGAATGTAGTCTTTCTTCTGAGGTATGGACTAAAATACATGTAGTACCAGTAATATTTTCCCCAAAAGCTACATTATCTTGGCAATTTTATGATAAAATATACATAACAATAGTTTTTTTAAAAACAAGTGCTATTTGGTTCTCACTATGAGTCTATTAAAATTTTGTTGATTTATTAATAGACGTAATCAACTTAAATAATAGATATAAGGAAAAATCGGTAAATCTGACAACATAGCTTAGAAATATGTTGTCGGTATTCGAGATTTAACAGAGGAATAAAGGAATTTTATTTAAATTAATAAAAGTAATTCTCAAACGAAACATTTTATTCTATAAGTAATCAATGATAACTGAAATTTTATGACAGCATTACTACTACAATGGTCAAATTAAGATATACTGCTAATTATGTACAACATAACTTTCCCAATCTAGCACGTTGTGCTTTAAAATATGGCGTTTCATGCTGCTCTTTCTTTTGATTACAGCCCCACAATTTTCGAAGCCACAAGACATTGTAGCAGCTCCACAATCGTACTTCGTATGGACGTACCAGGACATCTTTTTGTTAAACCGTTTTCCGCAGTTTCCGCAGACAAATTTGCTTGATAATGCTGAAAATTTTTTATGTTAGGATATCAAATACAAAATATCAAAAAGCAATTCAATCATCGAATGAATCTACGCTAGATTCGTTATATGGGTCGATATGGTATTTAAAGACATTTCCAAAAAATAAATTAAATTGATTGGGAACCAACATATTAAAATGAATATTTATATTATCGTTATTAAAATTTAAATTTATTAAATTAAAGTACTCTTCAAACGCACCTTGTAGTGCGTTTGTGGCACTAGATATTTTTTGACGGTTGCCCAGAGGTATTGAGACAACTCTCTTCACTCTTGCAGTTTGTCAAAAACCCATAACCTCTGATCCTTTTTCTCCCCCCTGTTACGTTAATTTTTTTAAATTATTTTTTGAAAAAGTTAATAAATCTCAAACCTAGTCCACAATTTGTTGCGAGTGGCATTTTCACGCAAAATAAGATATCGGGACACCATTTAGAACGGAGGTTCTTCAACTATTTATAGGCGGAGAATAAGTTGGACGTATTTAGGATTACTAGGACAAAAATGAAATGAAAAACAGATTATAGTTTTAAAAACATAGGTACAATGAGTAGGTATATTTTATTATAATAAAATTATTACTTCTTTGTTTTTGTATGATTATCTATTTGCATGATTATTTTAGTGGAATAAAATAGAACTATTTAAATGAGATTTATGACAGAGCTAAAATTTTAAAATATTCTTTAATCTACAGGGTGTCTCAAAAGAATTGTAACAAACTTATTTATTTTTAAATTTGACTAACAGTACCTACTTTATTAAAATTTTATTACTCTAAATGGGGTTAATAAAATAAATAATTTGCAGAGAATTAAAAACGTTGAGATCCATCGAGATGGTAAAATTATAAGTGATCAACAGGTACCATAGAAAAATAGTATTTTTAGTTACAAATCCGTTAGGTGACTTGTTACAGTTAAGTATAGCTCCATCACTACACGTGTATGAGCTGAGGTGGGTGGAGAGGGTAATCTAAGCATAGATGATTATTGCATTTACTGCACTAGTGTGGCAAAATGTCACTTTACAACACTGATGCGGTAAAATAAGTCATTGTGACATTTAAGTAATGTAAAAAGTAAAGTTTGACATTAAATATTGATAGCACCTAGATAAATAACATTCCAAACTAGATATCTATTAAAAAATTATCTGTAGCTATATTATTCATCATATTGTTTCGCAGGATACAGCCAAGGGCTTAGCACAAATAAACATTCAGAATTCTAGCAGTAATTCCCCTAAATTGCAATATTCCTTTGCCCCGTTAGGCTACAATTTGCAGTATTATTTGTTACCTTTTTGATAAATGTTAATTTCAAAACACTTATAGAGATTTTTACTAGCTCAGTGAAATTTAATATCAAACGTTACTTACCTTTAAAAATGAAAAAAAAAATAAATGAGCACATCCTTTTCTCTGTCGTGAATTCGGCTTTTCAAATAGACAATTTTAAGGGTAGTAATCTTTCTAGGAAATGTTGGGCACCAATAATTCTCTTTTTTATTTTTAAAAGCTAGTGAGAATTATAAATTCTAGCTTTATCAATAAAAAGAAGTTAATAAAAATTATACAGAATTTAGTGAATGAAAGAGAATTCTTTGTGACCATTAAAAAATAAGATTCAAAATATATACTTATAAAAATCAACGATTTTATTTAAAAAAAGAAACCTTTCCGAAAACAAATTATTCACAGTTATCAGATATTATTAAAATTGTGATTCGTACATAAATAATTTTAGTCACTAGTAATTACCAATTGTTTTATTGCTAGTCACTTGTAGATAACCATACGTAGTTTTTGTCCCTCGGAAACCAACGCCATTGTCTGTTAATCTTCCTTCTATGAAGCTTTGAATTGTAGCTGTCGCCTTTCCAAATCAAACAACTTTTCACTAGAGATCTCTGCTCCTCGGGAACCAACGTTCAGATTACAGCGGTAGAATGGTTTTACGGCTTTATAACGTTCGGCTTATGACGTGATGGCTTATGGATTTATGTGGCTCATGGATTATGTTTTATTGCTTATGGATTATGGCTTATTGCTTATGGCTGATTCCATTCGCTTGCTAGACAAAAATAGATTTTGTTTTTCACGTGATTCTGTACGATATATAAATTTGAAATATCTACTTTCTTTTTTTTTTAAAAATGAACCAATCAGATTATAAAAACTAGTGACTATACATATTGTGCCGTTCTAGCAACCAGAATGAATCATAAAAATATATTTAACTTTACTATTAAAAAACTAATAATTAATAAAAGGTTAGAATAATATTTCTACTGAGATATTTAATAAAGACATTATATACTTTTTGTGCTTACCACTTTATCAGCCCAAATGCACCACCGATTTAATTGAAAGGTAATAATGAAATGAAATTTACAAATCTGACTTGAGATCGTCTGGTTAGTGGTACTCCCACTTCAAGAAATTTCCCTTTCTTTAGAATATTTTGTGTTGGCGATAATTAAATTATACAGGATGGCACACATTTAAAATAACATTTTATAATTCGACTTTTAAAATGTTACAAAATATAGAGAAGAAAATGAAATAAGACATTTATAAGTAAAAGTAAGATATACATTTTTGATTTTTGTAGGTTGCGTTTTGTTCTTCTGATACTTATGCTTCACTTAAAATTACCAAATAAAATATCTCTGACGAAATAATGGTTACCACAGATACTACTTCGTCAAATTTTTCTTTCGAAGAACGTCGTATCGTCGATATTTCTTTTTTTGATAAGTTCCCTTATTGAGGCAAGTCTCCATAACCCTGCATTTGGCTGCAGCTTACATAACATGAAAGTTGTCGGAGAAAGAAGAGTGGGATTTATTTCGACTTTGACTTTTTTTGCTGCATGTGCAATGGCAATTTTGAGGTGCATACAGATGCTCAGTATTATTATTATTATTATAGTGGTAATGATTATGTCAGGCTTATTATTAGGAGACTAGTAGAAGACTAAATTATCAGTGTAGTCTAAAACAATTTAAAGCATATCCACCTTAACCATAACCAGTAATATTCTCGATAAGCTAAATTATCTTGGCAATTATTTATTGTTTCGGCCTTTACTTGATGAAAATCCATATTATCTTAAATGAGTAAAACCAAATTTGGTAGATTTTCACAAAACTTTTATTTTAAAAAATAAAGAAATTAAAAAATTAAAAAATTTTAATTAAAAACACTACACATGACATGTTTCGAAGTACAACTTCTTTTTCAAATGTGACTAATTTACAATTCGGTGTCCAATACATATGCGAAGTAATTTAACCAATCAAAGTAATTAAGAAAATACATCAATAACATAACAAAATAACTATTTAAAGTAAATAAGGGTACTTAAGTAATTACGATATCAATCAGATAACAATAAGATAGTATCATTACCGGGATTATCTCATAGAAAACTGGGAAAGATATTTAATATAGGTCAGTTATTAATATCTAATTGATCATTTAGTAGGTTGTCTAAATTTTTAAATCTATTTATTTCAAGTGTTTTTAAATGGTTTAGTTTAATGCCCTTATTTTCTATATATAAAATTTCAAAGTTGTCTGTAAAAGAATGATTTTCAGCTAAAATATGATTTGAGTAAGTAGAATTATTTTTGTTTTTTGTATAGCTATTATAATGTTCGGAATAGCGCTTTTTGAAAGTACGGCCTGTTTGACCAATATACAATTTTGGACAACTATCACAATTTCATTTATATACCCCCGATTTATTATTAGGATTAATTTTACCTTTATTGTTTTTAATATACTTCCCAAGCGTTTTATTGGTTTTAAAAGCTACGTTAATATTTTGGTTTTTTAAATATGATGATATCTTTTCACTAGGAGCTCCTATATATGTAAGAGTCTTATGTCTGCAATTTTGATCTTTAATTATGGGATAAACTTGTTAAATAGCATGTTTAAAAAGTTTTTTCTCTAAAATGTTGTCTACTAACTTTGAATTAAAATTATTGTTTACTGCGATTTGTTTAATATTTAATTCTTTTGTGACGTTCTCTTTGGTAAGGGGGATATTAACTAATCTATGGATCATACTGTTGTATGCTGCCAGCTTTTGTTTGTATGGATGAGATGAACTATTATTTATTGTAATATCAGTATGTGATGGCTTATGAAATATCCCAAAACTATGGCCTTTATTAATTTTAATAATATTTAATTGAATTATCTTTCTCTGTTCCCATAGTAAATTTAACATTAGGGTGTATAGTATTGATAAAAAATAATAAAGAATTTAACTGTCTACTAGTACCCGTAAAAGCAGTCAATATGTCGTTAACATATCTATGCCAATAAAGACAATGTTTACTTAAATTACTGCTATTAATTTTATGTTCTATATTATCCATAAATATTTCTGCAAGCAACGGGTTTAATTCGTTCCCCATAATAAGACCTTCATTTGCTGAGTAGATGTTATTTTAAAATTGAAAATAATTTTGTTTTAGGCCATTAGACCAGTTGTGTCATTTGTCACGGCTCCATCAGTTCACATAGATTAATTAAACTTATACAAGAAAACTGCAAATTCCATTCAAAGTACAGTATAAAAAATTCGAATTAACAGAAAAATTAAAAAAACATTAAATTACCTAGTAACACAAAATTAGTATCATTCGATGTAACAAACTTATTTTCTAGTATACCTCCTAAAGAAACAGTTAAGCTAGTAGAAAACTTATTAGATCGTAATCAAGTCAATATTATAATCAAAGAAGAAATCCTAAATTTGTAAACATTTGCCTGCCAAATTTGGTTTTACTCATTTAAGATATCTTGGCAATTGTCAGAAACAAATAATACCTATTTTTCTATTTATTAAATTGGCACAGTGTGTACAGAAATTGACTGACTATATCATTTTAATTACAATTTTGTTGATATATTAATAGATTTTTTATGCAACATAAATTATAGATGTAAATAAAATATCAGCAAATCTGACAACATAGTTTAAAGATATGCGGTTAAATTCCAATTATTTTTTTACATTGTTGTCTGTTTTCGTGATTTTTCATTGAAATAAAGGAATTTTATTTTAAATTAATAAAAATAACGCAATAAGTCGAAACATTTTATTCAATGATAACTAAAATTATAACACCAATATACAATTTAGACATACAAATATCGATTTATTGCTAATTATGTACAATATAACTTTCCCAATCTAACACTTTGTGCTTTAAAATATGGCGCTTCATGCTGCTCTTTCTTTTGATTACAGCCCCACAATTTTCGAAGCCACACGCCATTGTAGCGACCCCACAGTCGTACTTTGTATGGATGTACCAGGACCTCTTTTTGGTAAAGAATTTTCCGCAGTTTTCACACACAAATTTGCTTGTTAAGGCTGAAAATGTTTTAGCATATCAAATACAAAATATTAGTTCGAACATGTTTTGCTGCTTGCTCGGGTACACTGGACAGAATTATGGTGAACATTCCTGTTATCTAAATATTGAATATTAACTGGTGTTTCTTATTTTCCCCCTGAGTTAATTTTAGATAGAATGTAAATGTTTAATTATGTTATATTAAACAAAAGGTAAAGCTGAAACTTTTCTTTATTTGTCAATGCGAATTGTCGTATGTTGAGTTTGTCTGTATACAGTTATTTTTAAATAAATAACTGATTTAAAAGATTTAATGAATTAACTCATATCTTAAAGTTTATTAATTTAAAATAACATTAATGGTAAAGGCAATGGACGAAGACAACATAGTGGATCACTATATTAGTCTTCACATGGGTGTAAAGGAAAGGTAAAGATCCAGATGAAGATTTAAACGAAGCTAACAAACTTTTCCCAATCGTCTGTAATGTTGTGACTGCGTAAATGTCTCTTCATATTACTCTTACGAGTTATTCTTTTGTGGCAATTGTTGAAATTGCAGATCATCGCTATTTTTCCACAATCGTACTTAACGTGCAGGTACAGAGATTTCTTTTTGCCAAAAGGTTTTTCACATGCAGAGCAATAGAATTGTGCTAAAATAAAATATATTAGGTTACAAAAAAACAGTATTTGATGAAGTTAGGTACTAAGTACGCAATATAATATTTGTTACATTTCATGTCGTATTTCCACTACTGTTGTCAAGTAGAAGTCAGAGACATGGTAGTTTTAGCCCAGTATAACCAACCATTATTAATTTTTAGTAACAGTTCACAGATCTTAGTAGACGGTTTTGTTTTGTTAGGATGAAGACAGTAATTTATTAGACAATAACAAACATATACAGTTATCATGCAACGGTATTAATCGAGGGTTAGAACTATAACCTAGATCCAACCCAAACTAAACCCCTTCCTGTTCTTAATGAAGGGTTGTACAGATTAATTGTGGTCCGATAAATTAATTTTTAATCTTTAAGTGTTCTTATCTGAAAATTTAACAAAGTAACACTTTCTTTTCAAACCACAAGCGCAGCAACTTTTCGTCTGGTGAGCACTGGGTCATTGGTTGTGGAGTTTTGATTTCTAGAGTGGCTCCGGGCGCCACCTAATTTAAAAAAGACTAAGAAAATAATCATAAGAACGGTATCTTATGAAGATGTACTTCAAGATATAACACTTCTTACCTCTGAAATAATAAAAGAACAAAAACACTCAAATATATTTAGTAAAAAATGTTTATTTTACTTTATACTGGTTGATATCTTTTGTTATATATATAGAGAGTGATTTCACAATAATTCAGACATCAGTATTTCATAGAATATTAAAACATAGCTGGTTGAATTCTTTAAAATAAACAGTGTAATTTAGTTACCTAAATTTAACAAATTTCAGACATCACCTGTTACTCTGCATAAATTGGTATCTAATTGAATTCAAAAGAAATATCTTCAGGATCAAACCTGGTTTTACAAATAAGTCCCCACTATGCTATATGTACAAAAATTCCAATAAAAAATTATCCTACGATAAATCTTATTTTAGTATAACTAAAATAAGTATAATACTTTAATACAGTATGTACCCTAGCACTTTCTGTTTGTGGATTATTTCAGAGTCATAAGTACCTAAGTTTTATTACTAATCAAATAACTGTAAACAGTAATCAAACTTTGGAAAACTCAAAAAAAATATATGGAAATCTTACTATATTTCCTATCAAAAAAATGTATACAACTATAAAATTGTTACCTGCAATTATAAGGTTATACGAACTTAAATGCTTGGGAAAATAGAAGTGAGTCGCTGATGAATCCCTTCGGGTAGAATCTTAATTCACCCTGTTATTCATAAAAGGTGAGGAGGCTAAAAAAAACGATTTAGAGTGACAGCTACCAACTAGGCTCTTATCTGTTGTGAACTCAATGTAATCCCATGGGGCAGAGGGAGTTCTTCCTGGCCCTGGCATACACTGTGTTCCAAAAGTTTAACTTTTCAACATACTTCACCACTACAGCCTAGGGTGCTGTTGTAAAATGCCTTCTACAATATAAATATTTGTTTTTGGATTTGGACTCGTGCAATGACAATTAACAATTCGTCTCCAAAAATGAGGTAAAAAAAATAAATATGGCTCCACAAGCTATGACTTAAAAATATCAGTGTCTTTTAACTAACACTGAGGCGTATCTTAATGTCGATACACTAAAATAGTCCCTAAATGGCCGTGATGTCCTATAAAAAGAGAATACCCCATAAGAATGTCTTTTTTTAAATCCAAATATTTAAAATACACTTACCAAACATGTGGCCATTAAAATTTATGATGTTCACACATCAAACGTGTCGAACCAAAAGGAACGATGACACCTTTTCGTTAACCAAGTTAAAATGAAAATAAAAAGGATCGTTGTTAGTTATTTGCAGACTTTATAGTTAACACACCATACACTAAAGTGCTATACGGGCTGACATACAGTAGGCACCTATTTCTCTGAAATAATCCTTACCTAGACTAGTTTGCTGGTGTTATTGATTTATTAGGAGTCAAGAATATACAGGATGAAATAAAAAAATCAAAAAACGAACTTAGGTCCAATTTTCATGTTACAGGTGGATTAAGGATTTAAGATAAATATATGAATTTTGTTCGTCCATAACGTATTTTTTTACCAATATTTGCTTAAAATAAAACTTCCACCCTGTATTAGCGCACACATTCACACAAAACACCTTTATATTATTCAGTTCTCAACAGTTTAAAATTATAGATATTTCATACTTAATGCAATATTTTCACAATATTTAAAGTATGTTAAACAAGCATAGGTAAATACTAGTTTTTGATACATTTTCTTGTATAAATTGCAGTATTTATGTTAAATATACCTTTAGTAGCCCTCCTTGCTGTGCTGAATGTTCACAATAAGCTTTACAAATACAGCACATTTCGTTTAACTGGAATATGATGTAATTGTCGTGAATGTCTCAATAATTTTCATAAGCACTAAACAACAATTTTTATTCCTTGGATCAGTTTATTAGATTATATAAGCTGAATACAGAATTTTAAAATAATTGGGGCTACATTTATATTTGTAAGTGACTGCTAGACAGTTATCATATCATAGATAATAAGTAACTATCAGAGCATAGGCACAGTTTATAGCTAAAAAATCAGTTTATACACTGCGCAACTCGGATTTGTATCCCTGGCGCATACAGAATCAAATCATAACCAATCAAATATATGACAACCGCCTATATTCAAACAGCAGTCATCTGCGCATCCTGAATTTGTATCCCTGGAGTGTATATTATTTTGAAACATTCAACTGGTCCAAGTGAGCTAACTGATTCTTTAGCAATAAACTGTGGCATAGGTACCGCTTGGTAAAGCCGAGTGCATTTCATTGGGTGTATTTTGACGTTTCGGTTATTTAGGGTTTCTATTGGATGTCCAGGAATACCATCGTGGACACTGTTAGTTTTAGTTTCGCAGTCGCGCAGGAGTGCCACTCTTGAACCGTATTTGTCCGGTAGTGATAATTGGCTGAAAGAGGTTTTATTTACGGCGATTCTGCGCGATCGAGGCTTCAAAACAAAACTACGCAATTTTTTAAAAGCGTGGCTTTTGAAAAGAGTCGTAATGGTGGCTTGAGTTGAACATTCATCAATAGATGCTTTTCTAGTTTTTATAATTTTATAGAATCATTCCATGCCGGGGAGTGTTAGAAAAATAGCTCAATATTTTAAGAAGCACTAATGGTAAAGCTGAATCTGGTTAACGTGGAGTTAAGCCCGTTATTATGGTGATTGTAAAGTGCCGACTTCTTAACTCGTGTTCGAGGAGAATTAAATTTGAAGTTCAGCCTATTGGTAGTTGTAGAAGCAGTCTCATATTGAAGGCCGATCGTAGTTCAGAGCGTATATTAAAGGGTACATTGAGTTTAAGAAAGTTTTAGCAGATTTCTTTGCCTTTTTGATTAAAGATACACCCTCTGGAGCAGAAGGTATTTGGAACCTGGTATTGAAGATACTATTTGGAACCGGCGTTTCGGATTGGTTTTGAAGATAATGATTGGTACCAGTAGTTTTGATTGGGTATTGATGTTACACTTTAGTACATTGGTCTCTTTCTACTAACGAAAATCAGTTCTTTGGGGTTTGGAACGCTTCGTCTACATTGCTGCTTCTTCAGAGATTTGGCATCGTACGACTATATAGTACCACAGGCGACATCTTTTGCCTATCGGTCGACGTTACGGACTAGGAGATAAGTGAAACTAGATTTTATTTTTATTACTTTGGGGTATGATTTTAAAGTAACATTTTTCCTACGGCTGATATATATATATATATCTCACGTTAGTTCATGTGCTATTATGGGTCCATGGCGATTTTTTTATTTAATATAGTTCATATATGACAAAACCATTATGGGGATTGGGTATTTTACGTATTTTAAGATGACGTTACTTTATTAAATTGATGTTATTGATAGTAATATTTTAGTTTATAAGTATCGGTATATTTAAATCTGTTGATACAGAAACTAAAGGATTTTTATGACTAAGAGCGGTTAACCTTTACTTTTTGGTCGCGTCTGACACGTCTTCCGTCTTGGATCCAACGCTAATGACCGTGAGGGGTTCATTAAACCAACCCTGTTTAGTTTCTGCACACTGATTGGACATTGTATATTTTGTTTAGAATTTTGGGGTTATAACAGGCTTTTACGTAAGTATTTAAGTGGGATAGTCTACTACTTTTTGATATGAAATACATTATTCGGGACCTTTGTTAGTACAGGAATTGAAAGGGATATTACCTCGGGGTAAGGGGAAAGACACAGTATTCTGAATTGTAAAATAAATAAACATGATCTAAGTTAAGGTTGTCTCTTTATTTCCTATTTATTTGGTAGATTTAAAAGTAGGATTTTTCTAGATTTAAAGAGGCTCAATATCATAGATCTACCTTGCGTCCAACTCAATATCTAAAATTATATTTTTTTCCTAGACTACAAAGTAATCACCCACTCCCATCTTCACGAGAGTGAACCGGAGCAACAAGGTTGGCATCTGGGACAACCGAACTTTTGTCACGATAATATCACGTTAAAATCATTAAATACAGTCCACTATAAATTCATGAATTTAGAGTATCGTTTAAACATTGTGAATTGTGAACCAAACAAATCAGTGAACATAAATCGTGCTTGAAGTGAGCAAGCTGATCATAATCGCAAACAATGGTATCAACACATTGGTCTAGTCAACCGAAGCAGACACGCACCATATTCACTATATGTTCATGGTTCTATGAAAGATATTGTCATTATTTACTAATAATTATGATATATTGAGGTAGCCTCCTCTTTTAATAGATAAGATTTCTATGTAGGTGACTGATACTTCAATATTTAATAAGGATGGTTTTAAGAAGTTTTAAGAGTTTTAAAGCAAAAATTAGAGGCTATCCAGAAGCAACCTTAATGTTAGTCTTGGTTACTTGCGATGAAAACTTCGAACCTTGGAATTTGGAGCTGAGAAAATGTAATAGTAATCAAATGGCTTTTAACAGATTTA